TCGCGCTGGACGTATAGAAAGGCATCTGGGCGGTGTTGTTGACCTGGAACTTTCTGACCCACTGGCCCTTGAAGTACGCAGCATTGGCCAGCGCCAGTTGGGTGCGGGCATCGATGTCACCCGGTGCAAGCATATCCTTGATCTGATTGTGTGTTTCTGCGGCTATCCAGTCATTGATCTGAATGCGCGACTCCTCGGGCTTGCCCTTGAAGTCCAGCTTCACAATTTCATCGCTGAAGCGGTTCTCCAGGCAGCTGGCCAGCGGCGTATCCTGATCAAAGTACATGCGATCTGCCGACGAGAACTCCAGGGGCGACTTTTTAGCCCTGGCCTCGCGGTTCCGCTTCTCCATACTGTAAGCGCTGCGCACCATTTCCTTGGACTCGGCCCAGTCCAGATTCAGGACGCTTCTCAGCTGCTGCTCTGTCTCGCCGGAGGAGCCAAAGTAGGCCAGCAGCAGGGCATGGTAGGTGCTGTACGGCGAGAAGAAGACGTTGTCGTTGGGCGTCGATGTGCGGATCACATCCAACATGGATACTGCAAAGTTCTGCTGTCCGTGGTACAGTCTGACGCGCTTCTCCAGGTACTTATTATCGGGCTTCACGTTGCACAGCTCGGCGCTAAGGAAGGCCGGCAGCAGCACCAGCAACAGGGACAGGCTAAGGAGTTTCATTCTGTGGAGCTGTGTTGGTACCTAGAAGGGAGTGAGAGAGCCATTAATAAGTGACCTTGAACTGCGAGCGGGTCTAATGTTAAGAGCTTTAGGCGTTATCTGCTTGCCCCTACGTGACTGGACGTCCAGATTTGTTTTGCCTTACAATTTATGTATATTCGGGCGACGTGATTAGAGAGACTGACTCGCGGAGCACTCAAGGCGGCTTAATTTATTAAGGTTTCAGGCAGAGTTGACAAATCTCAGCGACAAGTATTTCCCCCGAAAAACAGTTCACCGAAATTCATATCACCTTAGACCTGGAATAGACATAGATCATGGGGAGTGATGAGTGGATTTTTGGATTTTTCCAAATAAATCAAAGCGGGTGGCAGCCCTACTGCTCTCAAGCGTAACAAGTCATTTAAATCCGCTTAAGGTGCGCGGATGATTCACTGCAAAGCCAAAGCCAAAGCTTTCCCACTGCGTACCGTACCGTACAGTTATTTATCTTGAAGCGGCGACAATTGCAACATCTGCAGACAGTCCGTACAAAAGTGAAAGTTCCCCCCGACAATCTGCCATGTTCCCCTGCACTGGAAATTCGCAACTAAATGGTTGTTGTATTTTCTGTCATACATAATAAACCGTTGCTTTTGTGCATGCACCGAAGCGAGCATAAAAGAGCAACAGGTAAAGAGAGCGACCGCAAGAGAGAGAGAGAGAGAGAGAGAGCAAAAGCTTAAGTACTGGCTAAACGATGGTGAAGATGGCTTGAGGATTTTATAATTTCTTTTTCTACCGAGTTATGATTAGTTGCAGTGGTTTGATATTACAAATTTCGAAAAATAAAAACATATCCACAAATCTGTGGTGCGTAAACATTGCCGATGTCAAAGCTGCTACTATCCCGTTTAGTCAGTCATTCAAGAGCCAGGCCTACAGCTTTTGTAGCAGCTGAGCGATGACGATGTCGCAGACATCATGTCGTTAACGATTGCGTGACTGCAGCAAAGCAATGAAAATGGCTTTTGTATTTAAAATAAAAAACCCAAAATTAACATTTCCAGTAACCGGTTGCAGATTCAGAGCAGAGCAGAGCCACAGGCAGAGCCCTGCAGAGCCGCCACAATGTGATGTGATTCATAGACGGGGGGAGACAAATAGCACGGCGTCTGCTCATTGTTGACCCTGTACGGGGTATTGGCTGTTGGCGATTTTGTAATTGGTTTTTCTACTGTTTGTATTGTTTGGGTGTGTGCTGTGCGCCTGCGCTGTTAAAGCTCTCCAGCGATCTGCCTCCCACTTGTAGTTGAAGTGGCAGACGAGACGGGTTTTTGGGAAAATCCCAATTATTGAACAACAATCTATTTATGAAGACGATTGAGCGAGCTGTCAGCTTAATTGTTTCATAGGAATTGCTCAATTTCTGGTTATTCTTGCGAATTTCAGTAAGCTCTTGCATCGACTTCATTGAATTCTGCGCGATTCCTTGAAACTGACCTCCGATTGATCTCATGCGAGGCCAATTAGAGTCAATGCTGATAACAATGAAACGATAATGGGAAAGTCCTCGGCGTGGCACAGCACACAAAACAAATCACACAAATTATAACAAATACGCAAGAAATATCGTAATTTGCCTCATTTAATTTGCGTGCGAAAAATATGTACATTCAATTACGCACGGATACAATACGCGCGCATACAGACACAGGCACAGATATGCAGATTGCGAAATTACACTATGAAAACCTACGATTTGAAACACGCCAATTAATAGTGTAACAATGTACCTTTTTTGTTTGTACCGCAATAAACTTGGAAACTTGTCCACTGGTTGTTTAAACTGAATTAAAATGAAAAAAAGCTGGCAACCAAAGCGCGGCTTTTGGCGTGCAGTGTGGCCGCGAATTGCGAGCTTATCGATCAAATATACCGCAATATCCTCTAAAACATACCGAAATATACCTTCTCATTTCATCCCTATAAAGCTTTAATTGTATCCGATTCATCAATACATTCTTCACAAGATAAGCTAGTTTTCAAAATTAGGGTAAATTTTAATGGGTCAATCACAAAAAAAAACCCATAGTTTGCGTGATTGTGGCTTGTGGTCCTGTTTTTAACTGAAAATTAAAAAGGAAAAATACCAAAGCCCGACTGGTACAATAAATAAATAAACCACAACGTTTCAAAAAGTATTTTTATAAATACTGCATACTGTGACCAATCACAACTATCGCCTCGCGCTTGTTTCATCCCTATGTGCAGCGCTTGCCAACACTGGGGAGCAACCACCGCTACCGCAGTCGCGAAATTGACAACAAAACAAAATTGGGGCGATAAACAAACCGAATTTGTTAGCAAATTAGTAGCAATGAGTACAACGAACACCGCGGCAGCGTCCCAGGACGCCTGCTACATATCGCTGCTCGGCCTAGCCGAATACTTTCGCACCGCCCAGCCGCCAAACGTGAAGAAGTGCATCCAGTGTCTGCAGGCGCTCTTCACCTTCACGCCGCCATCGAAGGTGGAGGCGCGAACGCATCTACAAATGGGCCAAATCCTGATGGCGTACACAAAGAACATTGACATGGCGCGCCAGCACCTGGAGAAGGCGTGGAACATCGCCGAGCCGCTGATGAACTTCGACGATGTGAAATTCGACACGGCCTCGGTTTTAGCGCAACTTCACCTGCAAACGGATCAGAGCTCACACCAGGCCAAGGCAATGTTGCGCCGGGCAGTGGAGCTGTCACAGCACAATGTCTACTGGCACTGCAAGCTGCTGCTGCAGCTCTCACAGATCCATGCCAGCGATCGGGAATACTCGCTGGCCTCCGAGCTGCTGGCCGTGGGCGCCGAGTCCGCCGAAGAGGCGACTGCCACGTACCTGAAAGTGCTCTTTCTCCTCTCCCGCGCCATGATCCTCATGATTGAACGCAAAACGAACGATGTGCTGGCGCTGCTAAACACCGCAGGACAAATCATCGACAATAACATACCGAATCCGCACCAGAAGGAGTATCTGAAAGTGTTCTTCCTTGTCCTGCAGGTCTGCTACTACCTGGCCCTTGGCCAGGTGAAGACCGTCAAGCCCAGCCTCAAGCAATTGCAAATGTCCATCCAGACGATAATGGCGCCCAATTGGCCCACGGACGAGTCCATCTTTGGGGCGAATCAATTGGAAATGTTTGTGTGGCTGCCCAAGGAGCAGCTGTATGTGCTCGTCTACCTCGTCACCGTCTCGCACTCGATGATGGCCGGGTACATGGACAAGGCGCAAAAGTACACGGAGAAAGCTTTAACACAAATCGAGAAACTGAAATTGCAGGAGGACAAGCCCATTCTGTCCGTCTTTAAGGTGATTCTGCTCGAGCATATCGTGATGTGTCGCATGGTCATGGGCAACCGAGAGCTTGCCATACGTGAGATTGCCGCCGCACGTGATGTGTGCCTCGCGGTGCCGCATCGGAGTCTGCTGAAGCGGCATTCGGCGCAGCTGCACTGCCTCATTGGATTGTATTCGATGTCCACGAGTTTCTTCGAGCACGCCGAACGGCAGTTTCTGGTGTGTGTGAACGAGACGACGGAGCGGGACCTGAAACTTTTTGCCAATCTCAATTTGGCCATTATCTACCTGCGCACGAAGCGGGATGCGGATCTCAAGCAAATACTCGATGCCGTGTCCACGGAGAATACGCACACGTACAGCAGCCAGGCGCTGATGGGTGGCTTCTACTATGTACAGGGACTGCATGCCTTCCACAAGAACAGCTTTCACGAGGCCAAGTAAGTGTCGGGTCTAGCGATTGGTGTTGCACCAATTTCCTCATCCTTTATCTATCCCCCACAGACGCTTTCTGCGGGAAACCCTTAAGATGGCCAATGCCGAGGACCTGAATCGTTTGACTAGCTGCTCGCTGGTGCTGCTCTCTCATGTGTTCCTCAGCATTGGCAACTCCAAGGAGAGCATGAACATGGTGACGCCGGCCATGCAGCTGGCCAGCAAGATACCCGACATACACGTCCAGCTGTGGGGCTCGGCAATACTCAAGGATCTGCATCGCATGTCCAAGGATGCGCAGCACGAGAAGGATGCCTATGCGAATCATGTGAAATACTCGGAGAACCTGATAGCCGACCAGCGAAAGTGTGTCCAAAGTGCGCACCACGAGCTGGTCAATTGGTTCCAGGGTGATCCGCCCGTAACAAGCGGTGCCAGCGCGCTCATCCTCACCGAAATACCCACCACCTCAGCGCTGCAAACGACGGCGGGGCAGCAGCAGCAGCAACAGCAGCAGCAGCAGCAATTCGGACAGTTCTATTAACATTTCAAATGCAATTTTATGTTTAAGGATTCTCCTCCCCCTTCTTTCTCTTTATTTTTCACTTAGCTTTAAGACTAAAAGATGCTCCTTACAAAATTTCTATCATTTTTGTCATAAATTATTCCCACAGGGAAGAAAAAACGTGAGTGTACGAAACGAGACGGTGGACAGATGTACTTAAATATCTAATTGTGGATATGGTGTGATCGGTGTGGATCTTACTGCTAGTTCGATGCTGGCCTACAGCATCAATGTTGAATCTGTTACCTCTGTGAGCTCATCGTCTAGGGCGGCAGCAGCCCCATTGCCATTCTCCTTGTTGCTGAGCAGCGTAAAGTGCATCAGGCGCTTTTCCTCCGGCTCGTGTATGGCCAAGTGTGTGCGCATCTCTGGCATTGACTTGAACTCCTCGCTGCACACCGGACATATGTAGATCTTGTCGCCCTGATGCGTACGCTGATGCATCTGACAGTCGCCGCGCTGCGTAAACGTCTTCGAGCAGAAGGGGCAGACGTAGGGTCGCTCCCCAGTGTGCGTACGTCGATGATTCTTGAGCACATTCAGCGCCGTGAAGCGCATGGGACACAGGTCACAGGCATAGGGTCGCTCGCCCGTATGCTTGCGCTTGTGCTTGGCCAGCGAGCAGCTTGTCGTGAACTTGGACTGACACACCTCACACTCGAACGGCTTGACGCCCGTATGGGTGCGGGCGTGTGAGGTCAGCTCTGCTTTGGTCACAAACGAATGCGGGCACTCGGCGCACTTGAATCTCTTAATGTCCGAATGGCGAAGCTTGTGCTGCCGCAGATTGGCATTCTGTGTGAAACTCTTGCCGCAAATGTTGCACAGAAATGGCTTCTCCCCTGTATGGATGCGCATGTGGTCTCGCAGCGTGGACAGCATGGTAAAGACTGTACAAAAAGAAAGAGTTACCATCAAATATGGAATGCAGAGAGCATTGTTTAAGATCCCTTACCCTTCTTACAAACGCTGCACTGATTACGCAAATTCCTCTTGTGACCCTGCACCATGTGCTTGCCCAGCTTCTCCTTGGAGTCGCACAGCAAGCCGCACTCCTGGCAGTTGTATGTGCCATGCGTTGCCTGGTGCTCTGCGAGATGCTCCGGTGAGACAAACACTCGATCGCACTCGTTGCACGGATAATTGCGATTGATGCAACCCTTCTGTCGGCGATGTATGATCAGGGATTTCTCCAGGGCAAAGCCAGCATTGCAGCGATCACAATGATACTTTAGATCCATTATTTCGCCATGGCTGATGCTCAGTTTGATCAACTTTGGGACAGGCACCACAATTTCTGTTGCTTCTTCTGTTTGTTTCTCGGCTGGGCGGCGGCGTGTGGAGGTTCTCTTGGCAGGTGCTTCTGGCTCTGGTGTCTTCGTGTCTTCTATTTTCTGCTTGGGTGACTGCTTTACCTGCTCCTGCTGCTGCAGCAACAGTTTGGCGGCACTCTTGCGTGTCCTCATCTGCAATTTGGGCGCCGGAGTCGTCTCTCTGTCACTTTCGGCAGCCTCAAATATGGCAATGCTACATTCTGTTGTCTTTTGGCTCTCGGGCTCGTGCTTGTAGTCCGTTTCCTCCTTTTCAGCCTCCTCTACGGGCAGCTCGTAGTCAAACTCCTCACACTCTTCGCCATCTTCCTCCGCGTCTTCCCCTTCAGGCACCACCTCAAACTTTTCCAGGATCGTATTTTGCGCGGCATCTGTGTTGTGCGTCTCTGTGGTCTGCACTTCAGCTGTGGCTGTTGTTGGCCCAGAGGGCTGGGTGGTCTGAACGGACTTTTCGGCAGATTGCACTGCAGGTTTGGCGCCGAACTCGGGCTCCTCCGGCAGCGCATTTGGCAGCAGCTGGCGAAGCGTTCGACTGGAATTCTCGCACTTGATCTTGAACGTGTAGCAATGGTTGATCTCGCTCAGGCACCCCAGGCAGACCTGTTTGGGCAGATTATCCTCGGGACGCGGCTGTTACAAATTCCAGACAAATGAGATTAATGATTTGTTGTGGTTTTATTTTATCGTCTGGGACGGGACGCCTGTCTTCGGCTTACCTTCGTTTTGGTGAACTGTTTGAGCATGTCCGCCAGGCAGCTGCCTGATCCGCCATCGTAAATGGATAGAAACGGCCCTGTTAGACTCAAACAGGTCAGGCAAATCTTCTGCACATCCATTTTAATGGACAATTTCGGCAAAAACAACAATTAAAAGAAGAAATAAACACTCGGCTGGCAACAGCAGTGTGACCGCGGAAATATCGATGAAATGGACCGACAACCCGCAGAAATATACCAAAGTATACCTTTTAATTTTCAAAATATACTGTAAACAATGTAATCTAAAATCATATTCCTCAATTTTGATGTTCTTTTTGATATTATTAGCTAGTTAGGAGTCTCAGCGCTATTTTCCACAAGATTGGCTGGTTTAAGGTTAAAGGTTAAGGTTAAAACTGAAAAGGTCAACCAACAAAAATGGCATAAAACGTTACGTGAGTGGGAGTGGATTGTTACGTATTGGGCAATTTGTTGCTGGGGCATTTTTATACCCTATTTCCATATATTAAAAATGACTTAGACTTAGTTTTTAATTAAATAGTTAACCCATCATGCTTATTTATTTTAATTTGAACCAATACGGTTTCGTGTAAGATTAATCTTTTTGCAGCTGTTATTGACAGCGCTGCCACTCTTTCAAAAATTGATTCCCGCCAGCTGTTTTTTCCTCGCCGGCAAAAAAATAAAAACACAATTGTATTCAAAATTCAACGTTGATTATGAACGATATCAAACAATTGAAGGACCAGCAACGCGACAAACATCCCGGATTCGATGCCTACCTGGATTGCATGACCCGTTCCCTCTTCACGGGCTTGGCTACATTCTGCTTGGGTGCGTCGCAGTAGATTTTCCTATGTCTCAGTGCCAAGAAAACCGATCATCAATTGCATAATAATTTACAAATTACAGGCTTTTCCGGCACCTACTTTGCCCAGAAGATCATTCAATCGAAGATCCGCTATCCGGCCAAGTACAACATTTTGGTGGCGTCGTTGGTGGCCACCGGCATCTCCTATCAGGCGACATCATCGCGCACCCGTTCCTGCCAGGCCGCCTGGATGGCATTCGAGGATAAGCATACGATACTGAAGGAGGAAACCTTTTAGCAATTGCAATTTGCAATTCCCAATTAGCTTTAGTTATGAAGAGTCTTGGGCCGCTGCTGCGTTTGGCCCGGGCTGCTGTTCCGCTGCACTTGGCCCGGTCTGCTTGTCCACTGCGTCCCGCTGTGGTGGGAGTTCTTCATGCACGCTTCAAGTACACTCAGCATCAGGGCGTCAAGGGCATAAAGAATCGGAAGAGCTTCTTTGAGGCGCAAATGCAGGCGGGTCAGCAGAGCGATGCGGATGAGGCGGACGAAGAGCGAACCAATGGGATTCAGGCTGACATGCGCTTTCTGGATGATCGGTAAGTAATAAAGACAGTAAGAGCACACACATCTCTTACCTGGTGTCCTCTTCCACAGCGCCTACGATGAGGTAGCTGGCGGTGCCATGCGCATTAGCCGCGACATTGCCAGTGCCCAGCATGTGCTCATCCTTCAGCCGTATGTCAAGTGGTCCGCCAAGAGGAAGGACATGCCCAGCGATGTTCGACCGGAGGATCAGTTGGCCGAGGCCAGCGCTTTGATACACTCCTTGCCCAATTGGCAGGTGGCAAAGGCACTCAAGGTGCCGCTGGAGAGTCTCGAGCGGAAGACGCTCTTCGGCAGCGGCAAGATGCTAGAGCTGAAGGCCTTGATCGCAGATCTGCGCCAGGAGAAGCATCTCACCTGCCTGTTCGTGAGCAAGGGCACGCTCTCTTTCGCACAGAAACGCTTCCTGGAAGCAGAGTTCCGTCTGCCCGTCATGGATCGCTATTCGGTGGTCATACAAATCCTTCGCTTGCATGCCACCACCGCCGAGGCGCGTCTGCAGGTAGCCATGGCCGAGTTGCCGTACATTTGGTCGCAGGCCAAGGATGCCAGCGTGACGCAGACGCGTCGTCAGGGCTATGCGCTGACCGATTTGCAAAAGGAAATCCTGCGTACCCGCGAGCGCAAACTGCGCGCAGAGCTGGACAGAGTGCGGCGTCAGCGGCAGCTGCTGCGACAGAAACGCAAGCAGCAGAACTATCCCATTGTGGCAGTGGTGGGCTATACGAATGCAGGAAAGACATCCCTGATCAAAGCGCTGACGGTGGAGGATGCCCTGCAGCCGCGCAATCAACTCTTTGCCACGCTCGATGTGACGGCCCATGGGGGACAGCTGCCATGCAATCTGCAGGTGATCTACATGGACACGGTGGGCTTCATGTCCGATCTGCCTACGGGTCTGTTTGAGTGTTTTGTGGCCACCCTAGAGGATGCCATGCTGGCGGTGAGATGCTCGCACTTTCCATTCTACTTGTTGTTCAATTTAATGAATGCTTTGCCCTTCTTTCAGGATGTCATTGTTCATGTCCAGGATCTATCGCATCCCTGCCATGTAGCCCAACGCACCCACGTGGAGTCGACGCTTCGTTCCCTGGCCTTTAATGTGTCCGGCGGTGATCCAGCCACCAGCCAGCTGCCACCCATCATCAACGTTTACAACAAATGCGATTTGCTCTCTCAGCCAGCGTCAGATGCGGATTCGGATGCTGCGGCTCATCATATCTCAGCGCGAGCCCAGACCGGACTGGAGCCACTGCTGGCGGACATAGAGGAACAGATATTGGCCGCCACGGGGCGACGCAAGCTGCAGATGCGCGTGCCCAGCGGTGGGCCCGAAATGGCGTGGCTCTATAAGAATGCCGCCGTTGTGGACACCGTGGCGGACGAGGCATATCCCAATCGCCTGATGATGCATGTGGTCATCAGTCAGCGCACCCTGGACCAATTCAAGCGGCAGTTCTTGTGATCTTTCTAAATTCTTTATTATTGCTCTGGTTTCTTATTGAATTGTTAGTGTTGTTGTAGTTCGGATTGGTGTTTTGTTCACTTTTAAGTTCTATTATAAATATAAAATTTGCTACCACAAACATACAAATAAAAGTGTCTAAAAATATTATGAAATAAAACATTTATATATAGACTATATAAATATATTTGTATCTATATTATTGCACAATTGCAGACTTCCTTCCCCCGACTTGTGCTCTGTGGATTCCCAGTGCTCTCTTCTAAGGAACTCTTTTTGTTTTTTACTCAAACCACAATATTATTCTATAGCTAATCCGACAAAGTGCCCCCCCGCCGCGACTCTTGCATTGGCACAGTAGAACTATACTAAAATAAATGGTATTTCGGTACTAAAAATAAAAACTCAACCAACTTAGAAAATAAACCAACAAAATTAAAAACTAACTTTAGATGTACACAAATCAAATGGACCATGAACTAAATCTATTACAAATACAAAAAAAAAAACAATTTTAAGCCCTCAAAATATATAAATTCGAATGTTTTCAACGAAAAATTGGTGCAAATGTAAATTTTAAAATGCTGTACCTTTCTTTTTTGTTAAAAATTTATATTTACTGAAGCTAAAACAGTTTTTTATTTTAATGTAATTATTTTGTATAACCAAGCAAATATTTTTAATGCCTTTTCTATATTTAAAATTGAACTTTTAAAACAACATTCGTGCCTTATTCTTTACAGTTTAGAATTGTTGTATTCAAAACAAAATTTATGCTTTAAAATTGTATTTTAATTATTTCTTTCGCTGGCAAATGTAAAAATAAAGCAAGCCAACATAAATTAGTTTATGTATAAAATATAGCACTTTTCATTTAAAATCTTAAAAACATATCTAAAAATATTAAACTAATTCTTGGTATTAAATTGATTTTATAACGGATTTTTGAGTCTTGTTTTTTTGTGTGTCCGAATTTAGTTTGGCAAGTAAAAGGGTTTCGATTCCCTTTGTTGTGCTAAAATGTAATCTAAATTAATTTTGTGCCACGTGACAATGCAAATACGTGGGGCAGCAAAAATTCTAAATAATCTTCGTCATTAAAAAATTCGAATTTGTGTTTAAAAGACATTTTTTGACGCATTTTTTGTGGATCTACTCCTTGGAAACGATGAAGTTCTTAGACCTAAAGCCGTACACAATCGGAACCCCTGAACCCCAGGGACGACCATCTTAAGCCTACGTTGGGGAATGCGTGAAGGATGATGCGATGAGCCAACGGAACAGCTGCCAGAGTGGCGCCACAATCACAAAAACAAACAGTATGCAAATGATGCGACAATTCTTGAGCAGGCTGACAATGAAACGTATGAATCGGATGAACATAGCAATGGAAATTGTACTAGAATGTGTGGAGGATGTTGGCTGGTTGCCGCTGCCTATGCCGCCGTTTGCCATTGCCAGTTATAACTTGGCTATGTGGCACTGCGCCTGCTGGTTGGCAGCCATCGAGTACTGTGCAAATGGCATCAGTTGGCAGTACTCCAGCAGTTGCTGCTCCAACTGCCGCAGGCACTTGCCGGGCGCATCAACCACACGCAGCTGTCCCGAGTCGCGGCACTTGAGTAGGTAGCCGCGCTGAATGAGCGCTTGGATGGCAATATTGAGATTGTCCAGGGCCAGGCAATACGGATGAACATGCGGTGCGGCGCCGCCAGGCTGTTGCAGCAGCTGCTCCACATGTTTCTGCACTCGCACCAGCAGATCCTTGTTGCTGAACTCAATATCAAAAGGTATCTGCAAAGATTAGGAGTTGTATTAATCAGAGTTTTCTGTAGGTTTCTGTTTATGCACTCACCTGTCGCAGCGTCACAGCCAGCTGGTAGTAGAGACACAGGAAGGGCGCCAGAGCGGCCAGGATGACATGAGCGCATTCGTTATCCTGCACCTTAATGCGGCCACTAGCCTCTAGCTCCAACACCTTCTCATCGAGCAGCAGCTGCAGATGAGTCTCAAACTCTACAGCCTCACGATTCGATTCAATGATGAACTCATGCTGGAACAGGCTATCCATGCTGCTCACATACGAATGCAGCGCCGACAGTGTGCTGTCATAGGAGTAGCTGCCGCTCGAATGCTGCTGCTGCTCCTGTTTGCGCTGCTCCTTGAGTGCTGCCAGCAGCAGATAGGCTGGTCTGGCCAGCCAGAAAAGGCACGGATTCACATACAGCTGGAGGGCCAGCATGGGCACAGCCACTGCCATGGTTGAGGGGCACAGGGCATGCGCCTTCATGCGCTTCACATCGATCTGTGTGGCCAACTGTTTGGCCGCCAGCGGCGTAAACTGTAGCCTTGCCTGCGAAAATTGCACAATATTCGAGTGTATCTCTACGGCGTCAATGATGTCCGCCTTGATGCTGCTCGCCTTGATGCTCACATGCGCACCCAGCTGATTGAAGATGCGCTTCAGGTGCAGCAAGCCACGCGACAGCTCATCGATGTTGGACGAACGTTGCGCGTACAGCTGGCTGGCATAGTAGAGGCTGAGCAGGTTAAAGGTATTGATGACAATGCGACGCTGTTGCTGGTAGATGATCTCATTGGCCAGCTGCTTGATCAGCTCAATCTCCTGTCGATTCAGCTTCTGCAGATGTCCGCCCACGCCGGCTCGTTGCATGCGCTGCCCACTGTCATGGCCAAAGAACTCACGCACCGAAATGGGATCGCCAAAGTCCAGGAACATCTTGCCAAAGCGTTCGTCGATAATTTTAAGCGCCTTGAAGAAGCCTTTGGTTGTCTCTTTCGGCTTGGGCACGCCCAGCAGCTCGTACACGAACAGCTGCTCCTCGAGCACACGCTCATAGGCCACGCTCACGGGCACAATCATCACATCGGGTACCTCGCCCGTGAAGTACGGCAGCAGGGCCATCGACAACAGTCCCACCTTGGGCACCAGTGCCTTAAAGTTCCTCGAGCGTGTGCCCTCAATGAAGAACTCCACACCAATGTGATAGTTGGCCACCAAAGCATACATATACTCCCGGAATATGTCCCAGTAAAGCTCATCGTTGGAGAAGCTGCGACGCATGAAGAAGGCGCCCGTTTTCCTGAGCATGGTGCCCATGCCAAACATTGAATGGAAATCTGTAAACGATCAACAATGAATTAAATCGAATGGATAAACTTGTATGGCATAAAACAAACCCATTCCTGCTGCTATGCCAGGTATCTCAATGTCGTAGTAGTAGCATATGTAGGACATC